GAGATTCAATAATGCGGTGTTGGTAAGACTGTCAGTTTTCGTAAATAATTTCGGGGCTCTATCCTTTATGTATTTTTTGATCGGATTAATCTTGAGGTCCCTTAATTTATAAATAAGTAATTAGAATTTTTAATTTTAAGTTATTAAATAATTAAGTAAGTAATTAGAATTGTTAATTTTAATTTTAAGTTCATTAAAGAATTGAATTTTTAAGGTTCAAGTAACTAAATACGAAAATTATTTCATTAAGGTAAATAAAATATCCTTTCATTTAAGTCAAATTTATATTGTATATATATGCGACTACATATCATAATTTAAACATACTCGTACTCAAATATGCAAATTCAATTTTTATTATTTATTGCTTCTTAATACTTTTACGAATGAATGTATCTACATTCACATAAATCTTATCTTTTTGCTGATTGTTTGAAACTGTCAATCAGTTTTTATTCATTTCTTTGCAATGGATTTGATGGTAAGACGAGTGGTTTTGGTATGGAAAAGCAATCCTTTGTAATGCATTAAACTGTTTGTCAATCATAATGTTTCCGCTGTCACTTATAGACACTTCGGTGCTTGCACAAAATTTTAAAAAGTTTTAAATATTGATTTATCTGCTGATTAAATATTTATTCATTAGATATATTTGTATAAGTCTGCAAAAGTTTGCAAAATGCAAACCAATATGTCTTAATTTTTTAATATAAACTTAACATGGTTTGTATGCGTAATTGAAGAAATAATAAAAGTACAATGAACTCGTGTTTTATATAGAAAAACTATATAGTTTATGTCTAGCACACCAACATCTCAACAGCACTTAATCTCTAACAACTAAACCACAAGATACAAAATTTTGTAACGCCTACTACAATTTGGTCGTCGTATGATAACCCAAACATTTTATTATTAACCAAAAATTATTTTTACGTCCCAAAATGTTACAGAAAAATTTTTGCGCTATTAAAAAAAATATTTTTTTTTTCTGTTTTAAATAAAAATTTATATAAACTTTTAATATAAATTGAATAGAACTTTGATTTCATAATATTTTTATAAATATTTATATAGTACTAAATAATTTTATGCAGTTATTGGCGCCAAAAGAAAATAGGACAGCGATAAAAATTCGGAAAATATTTCAAACAATTTTTAAGAAATTTAAAAAATACATTTTTTATTTGAAGAAGTCAACAAAACTTATCAAAACTTGGCTTTTTGTTAAAACAAATGGAGAAACTATATAAGTTGAAAATTATTTAAAGCAAATATAAGTTATCTTGGCGTCCAGAATATATAGGTTCTAAGGAAGATACTTCTTTGATAGTATATCAGACTATTCGTCGGTGCAGACCAAAGACCTATTAATCTATCTAAGTTCGGCGGGACGGATTTAGTTTTTACTCTTCTATAGTAGCGTTCTTGCGAGGAATGTGGTTGCAAAACGGCGGAAAAATCGCTAATTGAGGTACATGAAAGTTATCTAAAAGCCTGCCACTGCAACCAACCAACGAAAAGTTATCTTTCAACTGAGATGTAATGAATCAAATTTGCAATAATGACAACTTTAATGTCAATAATTTTATTTATATCAAAATGTATATATAAAATATAAGACACATTTTGCAATGATTTTTTTTATATAGGTATATATATTCATAAACAAATAAACTTAAGAACGGCGAAGGAACTAGTAGTCCAGTTCCTTATTCTTAAACTGTAAAATTAATATATAATAAAAAAATATATAATAATAAACAAATATATATTATTAAATAAATAAATAATTATAAATAAATGAATTACAATAAATATATAAATAATAATAAACAAATAAATAATAATAAATAAATTAATAATAATAAATAAATAATTAATAACAAATAAATACATATTAATTAAAAAATAATAACAAATAAATAATTAATAATAAATAAATAAATAATAATAAATAAATAATAATAAATAAATAATAAAAAAAAAAACAAATAATAATAGATAAATAAATAATAATAAATAAATAAATAATAATAAACAAATATATAATAATAACAATAGTACAAAGAAAAGGATTTTAAACGATAGGTAGATTATTAAATTTCTCCAATTTTTATTTAATCACCAAACTCTTCGCCTATTCATGTCCATTCTGTTCTAAACTTCAATTAAGTTCTTTTTCACAAATTTTTTGTTTGGAAGATCTTCCCTGAAGATGACTATCGGAGATAATCGAAATATCGGAAAATATCTTAATGAAACAATTTATTTTAAATATAAATAATAAATAACAGTTTTTTTTATTTATATTTAAATGACCAATTAGCTAGCTCACAAATTATTATAACTTTAAGACAGTGCTATTTCAAGCATATAAAATAAGCATTAATTTAATATATCATTTCATAAGACGTGACATGTGTCTGCGGATATGACACATAAAGAAGTCAATCATTTTCGAAATAATTTCTGAGACTTTTTGACACTGCCTACTGATATTTTAAGACATAAAGTAATTAATTTTTCTTTAAATAAGAATATTAAATATTTTTTTTGTCACAAAAAAATTTCCAAGATATTCTCAAGTGTTTGTCAAATAAATTGGAAAGTCAGGATCTTTATCAACACAATTCATCGCTAAAAATAATCATTTCATATAAAATATAAGGTTAAATGTAAGTATTTAAAATAATTATAATGTAAATTGCCCTATTATTTAATAATACGTTTATAAAAGAAACGTTTACCATTAACCCTCAAGAAACAATGGGTATCTAAAAACACTTAGCATACTTTGATATAAAAAGGATACAATTGGCAAGGCTGCATTGCGGAAATGCGTTACGGTGTACGGCTCTGCTGGTGTGGCCACATCTAATAAGTGATGTTTAGCACGTGATTGTTCCTCTTTAGTAGCTTTAGCAGTTGCAATATCCAAATTAGCATATACCTACAGAGAAAGAAATGTTGTTAGAAAACTTAGTTTAACAAATAAATTCTAGTAGGCTGTTAGAAAAATAATTATTAAGAAAACTGCAATAAAAATTTATTGTTTCCGGTTCTTACTTTCAGGTGTGAAAAGTTATTCATGTGCAATCTGTAAAAAACTGCACACTCAGTAAGGCGCAGCTAAATAAAGAAAACCTTCAAATATTTATTAGTAATGTAAACTTTAACAGTGACTAGTTAAAGCAATTTTTATTTACCATGTATATACTCGTATAATATATGGAATAACGAATGCTAAAACCAATTAAAACTCTATAGAATCATATCCATATACACCTAAAAATTTGTCATTTCATATATTTATGATTTCATTAGGTTATAAATTTTCTAATATAATTAGTTAAATTTCTTATTCAGCAAACCAGGAAATACAATAAAAATATTTAAACTAGTTTAATCAATAGAATTAGGAACATTTCATACACGAAATTTATTAGAAATTGAATTAGCAAATTTTTGTGAAACTAATTTGCATAAATTATTTCGCAACAAAAAAATAAATATCTCGTCAAACATTAATTATAAATTCATAAACATTTCGTGTGCCCATAAAGTTATTATACAACATATTTATATAATACTTCTATACAGTAGAAAATCTCTTAAGCGAATATTCTGCCAAATTTTGTCCATTCAATAGGGATGACAGACAAAACTTGTTTAATTACCCCAAATAACTATAAAATCAAGAGTTTTTGAAAATGTACCCAAAATTGTACATATAAAATGGGTATTGATTAGTTAAGTATAGTATAAATAAGAAATAAATATTATTTAAGGAATATCATAGGCATAGTATTAGTATAAAATCATTTGCTTGCACTTTTGCATACAAACAAACCTATACTGCCCATAATTATTTATAAATTGCAATATAATATTATAAATATATTATAATTAGAAATAGCTTATGTTTACGGCCTGCGTTACCACAAATATACTTAAAATGCTTGGGGGCTTTACAAGCAGGAAGACGTCTCAAATATGGAATTCGAGAACGCAAAAAATATGGACATTCTTTATAATCTTTACTTTAATGTAGCAGTGTATTATTACTGTTATAGGAGACATCTCATCCTTATAATCACAAAACCGTCTATATTCTTCATGATACTTACTTCAAAGATGGAGATCTTTTTGTATCTAGTATCAGTAAAGATTAATTGGTTAATGTAGGGCTTGCATCCAGTACATTTAACTTTACTTATAGTACTATGATCGTTTTTAAACATTTTAACTCAGTATTTTTGGCAATATTTTATGGGAGAAATACGTAGTATAATGAATCGGTTTCTATCTTTTGTCAAAATTCAAAATAAAAAAGTTCGAAATCTCTTCAATTATATTACTATTATTTTAACAAGTCTAATATATCCTTTTTAAAGAATATGTACGTAGGTCATAACAATTATATAGCACTATCAACGAAAATGAAAGAACCACAGCAACTACATAAAAAAATTTAATCAAAATTATATTATTTTTAGGAAAGTAAAAGTCAATGGTGATTAAATCAGTACTATATACTTTTTAAACGCATTAAAAAAACATATTTTTATCCTGATTGGCATCCTAAACATAAATATGTTTAGTGTTATTTGAAAATTTACCATGGAAGGAAAAAAATATAATTGAATAGCAATTTATGAATTTAAAAATACAAAAATAAGTTATATTGTGCACTATTTTTACTAGTTTTCAATTTTCTTTATGTCAATGTACCTACCATATATCCTGTCACGCAAACGCACTTGTTGCTTGCTTATTGACAATGTATAATAGGATCTGAATTTTTGCTGAAGTGGCAATGCCATTTAAACCAAAATATCGATTTGAATAAAATAATTTTAGACACCCTAAAACATAAACAAAAAAATAAACATATATATGTTTATGTTTATACCATCACGGTTTTAAACTCATATATTGCTTTCTTATAGTTATAATCAATTCGCTTTAAATAGTGCATATAAAAATATATGACAAAACAAAGTTGCAGCAAAGCTGAGCTAATAAACTTTTGTAATGGGAAGTCTGAGAAGATCCGCAAACATTTGCGCTTTGTGGTTTTTATTTTGCATGTGGCATTGTCCTTACACTGCCTGATTTGTCAAAATAATTAACAAACGAAGGCAAAGGAAAGTAAAACAAAGAAATGATTGCCAGTCTTTATATGACATCAATAAAAAGATGGCGGTTAACGTGAGTTGTTGCAATGGAATTAGTAATTAAAAGCAGAAAAACATTTAAATTTTTATATCTTTATAAATTTTTTATTCTCTGCGAAAGTGATTATAATTTAAGTGTGGTATATATAAAATTATTAGTTGTTTTAAATAATTGAGACTTTGTAAAAAGTATTTTACAGTGATATTACAAAAATGGCGTACCATTGTCAAATTCGCCACAATTATCAATTGCAGCGAGTTGAGAATAAAATATTCGTTAAGATTTTGTTCAATTTATTCAAATTCTGTTAGAAAATATAAAAACAAAAGTAATTTGGTGTTCAATAATATTTTCTAACATATAAACTACATTGTACGTTACTTTTTTTGAACATGAAATTCAAAATTACAAACGGCAGTGATAAGTGTAACTGTAAATGACGCAGAATCGCTCAAATTTTTTGCATATATTGAAATTTGACGTGGGTATATAGGGTAAGTCAATAAAAAAATGATTTAAATATCTAAAACTACATTTACAACTACATTTAAATTATCACAAAAATATAGTTTTATGTTTAAAGACATATTACAAAAATATAGTTTAATATTGTAAGATATGTTAATTCTTTATATTCATTTATTTGAAAGTTATAACGTTTTTATATTTTTTGCATATTATTTCATGTGAAAAATAATAACATATAAAGTTTTGAAACTTTTTATCGAAAGAAGTGACTCACATTCATAAATGAGAGTTGCTGGATGAGATATATGTAGAAGCAAAAAGTTCTAGTAGATATTACTGCAAGCTAAGGACTAGTATTGTTTCTATAGGATTATTCGGTTCTACTCTTAAAGTAATATAGTCATATTCTTTCAACCAATCATTAAGATCAATTAATTAATTAGCTTAAATATATATACATAAACTATTAAATTCAAGCCTTTAATTTATTGTAACTTTCGTGAACTTTATTTAAAGAGAAAAAGTTCAGTTACAAACTAAAGAAACTACTAGACAGCAACAGAAATTTCTAATGAAATAAAATTAGCATCAAAAATTGAATACTGAGATGGTCAAAAAGATACCGGATAGCACCTGTTAACGATGTCATACCTGTTACCTCAAATCAACCATAGAAACAATGACTAAAATGCAGAGAAATACATATGTAAATATATGTAAATATTTTATTGATAGAGAAATTAGCATAAATGCCAGAAATTAACCTGAAACTAAATCGAAAGCACGGAAACTTGTTCAACTTGTTTGGAAAAAAAGTTTATACTGATCTTTTGTTCGGATTTCGCTGATTAACAATTTAAATAATTATAATAAAATTACAAACTTGATACATTTTATTAAATGAATCGTGTTTCGCGTAAATTCGAGCATTTCTAACTTTATTTCACAAAAAATTTTGGTTTATATGCGCACTTTAGACGAGCCTTTTTTATAGCGTTAAATAGAAACAAGCAATAAAGTTTCTATATAACAAACATTATAATATTAAATATTATTTAATAGTTTTATTTATCATTAGTTGATTTTTGTTAAGTTTTATAAAAACTAATGTTTTATTTTTTGTTATTAATTTTTTGAGTTGTTACGTCGAAATTTTTATTAAAATCTGTTTTGTTTTTTAAGAATGTTAACTTTTATTTCGTGCGTTATTTTTTAGTATAATTCTATACGTATTTCGGCAAATTCGCTTTTGCCTTCATCAGGAGAATTCCTAATATTAGGAATCCTCCTGATGAAGGCAAAAGCGAATTTGCCGAAATACGTATAGAATTATACTAAAAAATAACGCACGAAATAAAAGTTAACATTCTTAAAAAACAAAACAGATTTTAACTAATGTTTATGTTTGAAACGTATATTTGACTTGTTATTTGTTTCTGTTTTGTAGTTTGTTGTTTTCATATTTAAAATATTATTCAAATAATTTTTAATACTGCGTAATTTAATATTAAAAAGTTGTTATTAATTATTTAATTGGTTATTATTTAAAATGACTGATTTTTTCGTTTTTCACCTGCATTGAATCTGCACTTATAATTTCACCACAGTATCGTTCTGCCAATTCAATTGACAATTTTGTCTTTCCCGTACCGGTGGAGCCTAATATCACAATCATAGGCAATTTGCGAAACATTTTGAACATAAAATAATAAAAGCAATTATCTACATGAATTAATATATCACTTTACACTTAATTTTATTTATTAATTGTATTATTTTACAACAATTAAACCGGCATGTTGAAATAAAACACGTGAATTCTATAAAGTACGTGAGCAAAACTGCTGTTAAAGAGACAAATAGGAAAAACATATGCGAATTTTAGGGTGACCATATGCTTTGAGAATGTTATTATTTAAAAACTGCTCTTTATCGCAGGAATATGTTTGTGTGTAGAGTTTTTTGTTATAATTTATTAATAAAATTATAATAATTGTATTTTAAATTTTATTTATATTACATTTTAACTGAACTTTTTTATTGATAAAACAGAAAATTTTGAATAAATTTTTGTTAAAGAAAACTATGAAAGCAGATGGTCAGTCCAGAATATATTTATCAGCTGTAATTGTTTTGCTTTTGCAAAGAACGTAAACAAAATCAGTTTAACTGAAAATATTTAAAAATGATTAATAAGATATAAGAAATAATACATTTAATGAAATTGTTTAAAATTGTATGCAGTGTTATTTTACATATATTTGTGAAAGTGTATTTTGAGAGCGTATTTAAATTCATATGCACCATACAATTTGTGGTTGCTTTGAATGCGTTAAAACTCGTACTTTTTTTTCTATTCAAAAATATGTTTTGTCTTCATTCAGACGGTTTAAATGAAAGCCTAACAATAAGTTTTAGAATCTTAAAGACTCATAACATTAAGTTACAAATTATTGTATATATAATGAAATATTTAATGATTTGTAAACTATTTTAAGGGGCCTCTGAATAACACAGGGCTTATTTACTAGATATTCCGTCGTATTAGTTGAATTATTCAGGAAGATCTTTAAGAAAACAGGATGGCGGGTCTATCATTCCGTTTCAGTTTAGAGAAATTATTTATATTCGCAAGAGATCTAGCCAGCGGATTCACATGGTTTTCAAGATTTGAAACATGTTTCTGACTTATTCTCTCGAATTCGACTTTAACCATCAGAACTGCCAAATCGTAATGTATGTTTTCATTTCTGATATACCAGGGTGCACCAGTTATCATTTTTAGAATCTTTGCTTGAGCTTTTTGCAGGAGCTCATACTTGAATTGAAGTGTTAAACAATATAACAGCAATAAAACTCATTGATTTCGTAATAGGTACTTCTTACAATATTACTAATTGTGAAGATGATCAATCGGCAAACCTTTCATATTTTAAAGTTTCCGGTAGTTAATGAGAAACATTTACGGAACAAACTATGAACTACCACTTTAGTTGAAAATCATGTTCTTGGTTGGTTGCAGTGGCAGGCCATTAGATAAGTTCCATGTACCTCAATAAGCAATTTTTCGGCATTTTGCTGAAAATGTATTTATACATTTCTTTTTAAGAATGTTAAGTTTTCATCCAATATAGGACAGTTATAACGTTTGCTTTGATGGAAGTACCTACGTTTTATGAAGTCAGTGAACGATAGTACGTTCTTATTTTGTCCCGGGCAAAGATATGGTGGCTTATTTCCAGAATAAGATCAATAGTTAAATTCAGAAATCTAGCTCAGGGGGTAAACTCTTATTAATCTGAAGCTTCTAAAAGCACAACTGGCCCTTAGTGGTTCTTTGACGACGAACGCAAGTAATATTTATGCACAGAAGGTTGACGAGAACCTACCTAACATCTAAATAATATATTTTTATCTTTTTTTCTAGATAAATAGATTGAATTAAATTTTTACAACATATAAAATGCTGTTTGCTATTATAAATCAAATTAAAGCTAATTTTTTTATTTTGTATTGAAACTGTTGCTTGGTACCTTATCGTAGAAGAAAATCAAATACACATAAAAGTTATAAAAACGCAGCTGCGTAAGAGTATCTCATCCCCAAACTATAAATGCCACACGCGCTTTTTTTTCATATAAATGTGTAAATTTGAAGGTTTTCTTTCAAAAACCGTAAAAGAAACATAGATGCGTTTTAAAGACATGAAGTGAAGTGATCAACTCAAATATTGTACAGAGCGTAGCTGTGATAAGAAGTACTTTTTACGCCTTTAGATTCACACCATAAAATAGGGTTCAAACTCAAAGGATTCTTTCATAAATGTTTGTAAATGAGTTAAGCAAACATTTTAACATATTTTAATTAATTAAACAACACTATAATAGTGAAATGAATTTATCACAATTAATAGCGAAATTGTTAATTAAAGCATAGTATGGTAGGTAAATATTTATTTAAAATAAAAAATCAAAGAAACCGGGACTTATTGCGCTGCATTTATATCAAATTAGAAATAAAGTGTTTACTTATTTTTTCGTATATATAAATCTTCCTAAAGGATCTCAATACGAATTTTAGCAGAAACATGTAATACAAGTGTCCTTACATCAGTAACAGTTGCATATCCTTAGGGTTCTACTTATACATATGTTTCCAATTCAATTATTTCCTACATTCTTTGTAATTTTTTTTATATATTAAACATAATTGTTAATTTGTTTATGAATACAATTTAATTGAGCTACATAATTGACCCTTGTCAACTTATCCTAAGGCTTTTCATGTCTTTGAGTTTACCATCTATTGTAAGAAAATTCTTTCCATTTTTCATACATGTATAAAAAGCGCAACTCAAGCAAAAAAGGATACAGAACAAAGCGTGTTACTTGTTTTTAAATGTTTATCTGAAATCTACCCTCTTGAAAATGATCTGTTGATGTTTGGAAACAAGGATCCTGTTGCGCATTCATGTCAGATCTTGTCTTTTGGCGCACGATTTTAGGAAACTGCGTGCATAAATGCGTCTATGCCAATTACGACTTATAATCCAGTTATTTTATTCTAGTGATAATCATTTTCTTTGTTAGTAAATGCGAATTCAATTTATATAACGCAAATTATATTATTTTCTATAAAGAAATTCGCTTCAATGCATTATTGATACAAGGTAATTGTTTTAATATATCAGTATAAAGGTATGGGAATAAAATAAAAACTTTTGAAAGAATTTCGATATACATATATAAATATATTTTATTTGCATTTCTTCTTCTTCTTCATTCCATTGCGTTCCCAGGGGAACATTGGGCCATATTTGCATATTTGGATTTATTAATATTGCAATAGCATTCTTTTGGCATACTACTAGTTCTTTAAAAAATATGGATCAAAATGACGCCAAAACTGTAGATGAGATATTTCAATAACACGATATAAAAGAAATTTACAATAATTTTAACAAAAAATCAACTCCAGCATGTGGTAAAATCATAAAATGTGATTGTGATAAGCTTACATTTGGAAGTTTTAATTTGGAATCACCACAACAACTCAAAAACCTCTAGTAATAAACTCAAAAATTAGAGTCACAAACTCTAAGTCAGCTCTAAGTCAACCAGTTTTTAAAAGCAAAAAGTTATATTAAAAAAATTGGAATACTAATCCTAATAAGTTATCCAGCAATCCACGCTTCAGGAACTCCA